TCCCAAGATCAAGAGCCCCTCACCAACATCAAGCAACTTCCCTTGAGGGAAGCTTGAGAGACAGGGTAGCAAAAGTCACACATAACTAAGAGTTCAGAGCGCTTCGTCGATAATGGTTGCGTCCAGTAAGTGCGGCTCATTACCAAGTAAACTTTAAAGTGTTCTGGAGGCAAAGTAATCATGAGAGACAGCATACCAACACGCCACAGCACTCAACCACCTGACCCACACACCGCACTACTCAACCACCTCACCTCCACACCAACATAATTAATTTGGTTACATGACACGACAGTTCACTGGGAGTACTTCACTGTTTATCTGCATACCAACATGCACAGCGGTGCCAACAAAGACTTCTGACATTCTCGTCTTTCCCCGATTCCGGTGAAGGGCTCTCATCCAAGGAGCTGGAGCTGCCTTTGACTTGAATCAAGCTTAATTTCCCCCCGTTTCGTAAGCGCTGTATGACCCTTACAGTTTTAACGCTCCCCATGATTGTGATGATAATAATCTTGTCCATATGTTAATTTTGCTGTTTTTCATTATTATTTATTATTATCAAAGGAAAGCGCTAAACTCGTTATGATTGTACAGCACTAAATGAATGGGAAGTAATTAGCTTGATTAGAGGAAGGAGAGGATCGCCTTACTTGGATCACGAACTCTTCCCCAGCGTTAGTCTACGCGTCCCCATATGTGATAAGTGTCCTGAATGGGTTTTTCCCGAATTAGACGTTCTTAAGATATACAATAAATTCAGGTACCCATTGTAATGTACCATTCGAGGATAACTAATGAGTGCTACCTTTAAATAAAAAATAAAAAAAAAATGAGTGCTGCCCGTAAAAGTACTAATAGAAGATTGTATTTGCTTACCTTTAACAAAAATAATTTTCATACAGCGTGAAAGACTAGTTTGCAGCATAAACAAAGGAATAATATAAAGTCATTAGTCTAAGATTAACGAAGGGGAATGATATGCACTTACATATTTACACTGTAGTACATATTTTCTTCTAGGATTTAGGGTATATAGAGTAGGAGAGCGATGGTGGTAAAGAAGTCTTGCCACACCGCCCATCACGAGGGAATATCATGCGAGGCACAGTATGTTTACATGCAGTCATGCCAGGCACGCAGACAGGGCCACTACTCGTTCCTGGCTCTCTACGTGAATATTTTGTTCTAACAGCTACACCAATGATGGATACCCACGTTTAACTGTGTACCTGATGGTGATTTGAAGACAGATGATGACCTATTTTATTAGGCATGGAGAAAAACGACTTAAGGCTTAGAGACAAGTTGAAAATGCCCAATACCTTGTGCCCAGGTGATGCTGCGATATTAAATAGACAAACAGAAGTTTTAGAAACTATAAATAGCATAATTAATTTACAGTAACAGTGAGTGGCTCACCTATTTATATTTGGAGGGGTCGACTCGTGGCTCCCGACTCCGCCTTTTAATTTTCATCAACCAGGTTCTGGCCTTCAGGGCAGTCAGATACATATTATGTAGCAAGTGATTCAGGGACTGATACAAATTAATTGTTTAACGTTAAGTGTCTTCATAGTGACTTTAGTGCCCCCACCCGAAATACAAAAGTATTAATACATTGAGGTCAACAGATACAGAAAATTTTGAGGACAGTAGTGAAAGATGGTGGGTTGTGACTCTTCCACCATCCGCACGTCACCACCACCATGAAGTTCCCCTTTTTTAAGAAAGTCGCTCGCGATATGCCCAAACCACAGCCGCCTAAGAAAGATGAGTGCGCGAGCAATCCTGAAGAGGTTTGCTTTCCTCCCATCGGATCCTCCTTTGATATGACCAGTCAGATTTTGCTGCAAGTGACCGGGATGACGCTGACGAAGAATCGCATTTATCACCTGCTCGTCCTTTTATGAGCAGATCGGACACGGATTTGACACGAAGTCGTAAGTTTACCCGCAGGAATGAATGGGAAGTACACAAGAAGTCACTTTTACCGGGCCATAGAGAGTTGCGTCAGGTGCAACGCTCACCCAACGATTTGATGCTGTCGCCCATAAAGATTCCCTTCTCCTTCAGCAACGAGTACCTCAAGAGGAGCCTCAGTAGGAGAGCCTCCATGCCCTCAGTTCTCCACGACTATGACGGTGCTAGTACTGGTGTATTTGTGTTTTGTGTGTCTTCTTGCTCTTACTTGTTACTTAATAAGACATTGTTTTAGCATTTTTAGTTCTACTGATTTTTTTTAATATAACTAATTACCAGTTCATTCATTTTGCATGTGCGTGATTATTATTATAATCAAAAGCATGTGAGTGAGGCTTTCCCTTTTCATCACATAATTTTCTAAGCAAACAAAAATATGTATTATGTGTTTTGATATATCTGTGTGAGCAAAGCTCACTTGGATGTAATTACCTACTTGTAGTTACAGGAATAGAGCTGTGCTCATCATGGCCCTTCAATACTTTGGTCATCATAAAAAAGAAATTCCAATGGTTGAAGCACTTATTGTATTCTGTTGTAAGTGGCCTTGATCTAAACTCGGAAAAAGATCCTAGTATCCGGCTCTGTTTTTTTCCAGTTCACGACGTTTTGTTATTCCAGTTGTAGGTACACAAAAAATTATCTAAATTTTCATGTCTTTTTATTACCTTATATATGGCTATCATGTTCCCTCTCTTTCTTCTGTAGGGCAGAGTGGGCATCTTTAGTGCTTTCAGAATTGTGTATTTTAACTCTGGTAACCATTGTGCAGTTATTGTTTAGACCTTTTCTAACCTACTCACGTGTGGACACACCACCGCTGCATATTCCAATTTTGAGCTAATGTATATTAAAAGTTTTTTTTTTATAGCATTTCTCTTTCATATATTTATAAACTATTTTAAAACTCGTTTCGAGTTGCGTATGAGTATCAATTTCGTTTGTATGATTTTCCAGTGTATGTATATTTTTTTTATTAATAATAACTCTTAGGTCCCTTTCATACAGTCTTTATGTTTCTTGTGGCCTGATCGGACTCTTTCCCATTTCAGTTACATGATTTTTCTATATAAAATTCAGTTCTATTATCCATCACTTCGGTTGCTCAGATTATCCAAGTCATCCTGAAAAGATTTGCAGTCATTTACATAATTTATTGAGCCTAATATTTTTGTATCATCTGCAAACATATTCAAATAGTTTTTTTTATTTCTTCTGGTAAATCATTTAAATAAATTAAAAATATTAATGGGGCAACACCAGATCCTTGTGGCACCCCACGAAAACTTTTTGATTTTCAACTGTTCGCTTTCTTTTCTCTCAAAAGGAAAGTCTCTCGTCCATTTTAGTATTTTTCTTTTATTCCTTCTAGGTTTTGAGGTTTCAAAATTAATCTCGCATGGGGAACGCATATCAAAAACTTTCTTAAAATCTAGATGCCCAATATTCTGACCTCGAACACTTTCTGTAAGTTTTTTATAATAGCTTGCTAGTAATTTGTTCTGGAAATGTTTTATCTGCTTTTCTGGGGAGACTTTTTTTTCCCCTAATACTTTTACCACAACACTTGTCAACGAAACCGGCCTACATAGTTGCGGGGATCTTCACTGTCACTTTTTTTTAATATTGGCACAATGTGTACCATTCTTCCATTTGTCTTCCAATTTTTCTTCCCGAAGTGAAATCATTTTTTTTTTCCAAAGGGGATAACTCAATTCTTCTACGCATTCTTTTAAAACCCATGGTGATGTATCGTCTGGTCCTGTTACCTTCTTTTGTCACTGTCCAGTAATAATTTCTCTACTACTTCTTTATTTATCTCAGTATCCTCTAACTCAGTTATTTGTTTGGGCTTTCAATCTGCTACGTATAGAATCTCCTCTCTTGTAAACACTGAAACTTTCAAATCTTTTCTTTTTCATAGGTCTCCAACACCTTTCACTGAACCAGTCTTCAATATTTCTTCTTTTACCCATGTGTGGAATAAATTAATACCAAGTTCACAAATATCGCAGAACTCTCTGTATTATCTCTTGTTTGTGTGTGTGTGTGAACATAATGAACAAAAAGGCACAGTAACGTGACTAGCAATGCACCAATAACCCTCACGTAGGAGAGAGGCGCTAACGACGACGTTTCGGTTCGACTTGGACCATTTACAAACTCAGCGACTTTGTATATGTGATGAATGGTTTGAAAAACCGACAAGTTGAAGATTGAGACACTTATGCAACATATGGGAATCTTTATTCAGGAAACGTTTCGCCACACAGTGGCTTCATCAGTCCAATACAAAGTAGAAAGGTGTAAGGAGAGGAGGAGTTTGAGGTAATCAGTCCTTCAGCCTGGAGTCGATGTGTTCAGTCCATCAGTCTTGTAGGATGTACAGCATAGGGCCGTAGACGTGGTTTATATACTGTAGTGAGGTGAGGCGAAGCAGGCGGAGGCGGGGTCATAGTGGTACTATCCACTAGTCGAAGTAGATCTTCGTCCAAAGGTTGGACAAGTGTTGAAGAATTCTTTGTAACAAGATCCCATGATGCTGCAGTGTATTGTATTGCAGTGCACTTTGTATTGGACTGATGAAGCCACTGTGTGGCGAAACGTTTCCTGAATAAAGATTCCCATATGTTGCATTTCGGTCCAGTTGGACCGAAACGTCGTCGTAAGCTCCTCTCTCCTATGTGCGGGTTGTGTATTTAATAGAATACGTATTAAAATTATGACTAATTTTGTTTTATAATACTTAATATTATATGTATAAATACTAATACATTTTCATTAATAATTCATATTTGCTTTCATGTTTTTAATATTGATTAATACTGTATTGATATGATTATGACCGTTAATCCATATTTTTATTAAATACTTTACATATTTAGAATGTCTTGATTGATTTTCCCACTGAATATCATCTTGTATGTAGAATTACTAGGATATATTTTGTTAATTATTAAATTTGTATCTGATGTTTTTAATACTGTAAACTAATTAACTCATTTGTATGTCTACAGACGACGTTGGTGTGATGGCTACAGTAGGTGCTCAGTACCACAACACTAACATGGCAGGTGGCAACGGTGTGTCTCGTCTTGCCATGATGCAGGTAATGTTAATATTAGGAATGATATTCACTACCTGAGAGGTTGATGAGTAAGTCACATGTGCAACGCTGGGAATAGTTATTAACCTCAGTAATATTCCTAGTGTTGCATATGCGTCTTACTCCTCAAGTAATGTCAACATAATCGTTATTATTGTAGTAATAGACATGCTCCAAAACCCATAGGTTCATACATGATTATCACTATTATTATTATTATCATGGGGAGCAAAAATCTGTAGGGGTCATACAGCGCCTATAAAATGGGAGACAGTCAAAGTTTGGCCATGCTTCGATTAGGGAAAGGGAGCAACTTCAACTCGGCAGAGGTTAAGGGGGAACTACAGTGGATAGTTAGAGGCAGTCAGAAACACGTAGGGAAGACTTAACTCGGGTGAGTTAACCCGGGCTAAATAAGTAAGTAGTGTGGCGTATTTCTATGGAGGTGCTTTCCTAGGATGCAACATATAACCATCACTTGAACCTTGGACACCTGTTTACTACTAAGTAAACAGGGATTTCACCCTATGTCCTGACCCACCTAGGAATCCCGCCTGAATCTTTTCGGTTGTGAGCCGAATGCTTACAGTTTCAGAGTTGTAGGTGGAGTAAACCAGAATTAGAGCTACCCTTTCCTTCCTCGGATTAAACCTGATTAACCCACTTCATCCTTTTTATAGACTATGGATGACTAACGGGTTTAGCGGTTTCCCATAATAATAATTAGGGTTAAAGGATTCTTTATTGATAATGTACAGGCGTTATGCAACCATAATGACCCACATGCAGTCGCAAGGTTTTAAACGCGTTGAACTAAACAAAATTGATAATTTCAAGAGTAGGTAGGCAACAGTGGGCCCTTGATGCTAGGAATCAGTACAACCGGACATTAAGTAGTAGTTAGAGGTAGGGACAGGAGCTGTGAATTGACCCCTTGAACTACAACCAGGTGAGTATATGCTGGCACACATACATTTCAACATTTACATGTCATTGGCCATGCCACATTTCGATTTATGGTCCGCCTGGTACCATTGTCGATGCCTTTGCAAGGCTGCTTTATATTCTACATAATTCATACTCAAGTACGAAGAACTTGTCACTGTCATTGATTTATGGGTGGTCATACCTTTATTGGAGATTCCTGTATTTATCTATAATTATGAGAGCGAAGGGTGTTCCTAAGGCGAAACATGTGAACGCAGTAGTATGGTTTTAATAAACTGTGGAAGAAGTTAAGCCCAAGTCATATATGTTGTAGAGTTTTCGAACAACGTTCGTGTTGTCATGGAAATTGTGAAAACAAAACTGAATGCGCGCGTCGACTGGACTATGGTTGTGTGATTGCTAGTATGACTTTTCATTCGAATTCATTGAACAAATAACGTTAATTCTATTTTCCTACAAAGACTTGCCCACATTTATATATTAATGATATGCAATAATAAATACAGGCGCTAGTTATACTCTCCAGGAAGACCAGATATTCTTGGTATTTAGAGCAAGGATATCTGGAATACATAGTGGAGTTCTCGCGTGAAAAGTTTTGGGAGGTGGGCGCAGTAATTTGGGTGAGGCGAGCAGTGTGGGAGGGTGCATGGCGTGGCTGGTCGTGGTGATTGCTACAGCAACAGTAATAACAAGGCGTGCACGTTCTCCGAGTTCCAGGTGAGGTGAAGCCTGCTAAAGGGCAAGCAAGATGGAGCAGTTGTGGTTGTGGTGGAGCCGGGGTTTGGTGTACTGACGCTCGGTGTATCTCAAAACTTTTTATTTTATAATTAGTTCGTTAAAGAGTGGTTTACATTTCATGGATATGATGAACTTAACATCTTACCTATGAGGAGAAAATATTTCATGAGATAATAATTTCCATTCCCCTATTTAGTGATCAACATGCTTTACGCAAGATTCAATTATGGCTGAACCTAGAGTTTTGTGTGTTATAACCTTAAGTATAATATAGTCGTGTGTCTTACAAGAGTATACCATCATGGTAAGTTACATATATTGCCTTAGTGAAGCATAAAGTGGAATTCTTTGTTTCACTAATAATTTAGTGCTATACCAGTTTCATCTGTACGAATGATTTTTAACTAATACATATCCAACCGCCTTATGGTCTGGAACGCACGTCGAATAGTTAATATTGCACGGATGAATGTGATCAAATATGAACGAGTTTGTCCAACATTCCTAAGTAATTCCTCATCCGTCAAAATGCCTAACATTCCTATTGAGCACTTTGTTCAGCGTTCTTATGGTTAGTTGGACCCTTTAGGGAAGTGCCTCTGCTGTATGGGGGAGCTCTTGATCCAAGAAACTAGATTTATCTTCCCTTTCCTTGGATTAAACTTGATTGCTTTCATTCCCCAGGCGGTGTGTGATCCTTACGGGTTTAGCTCTTCCCGCTTATTAAAATAAATTATTGTAAAATTAAGACCTTCGGAAGATTTCAGGCATCTTCATAATAATTACTCTTAAAGCTTTAATGCTGATTGAGGGTTCTTGATCCAAGGAATTTGACCTATCCTCCCTTTCCTCGGACCGATTCTTCCTCCCATACCTTAAGCCATTGTATGACCCCTCACTGGTTTAGCGCTTCAAGAATATAATTTATTTACATCATAGACAATGTAATGCTTTAACTTAGTAAACCTTTGTTGCTTTGAAAATGCTTTCGGTTGTATTTTAAATGTATAAAGCGCATTTGCATCGTAGTGTATGTGATTGTATACTACTGTAGTTGGATTATTTAGTAGCTGTATTCTACAGTATGACTTGCTTATGTGGGACGTCGATGGCTCTTCTAATCCTTGGTACCCATTTGTTTAAACAGTCGCTTGTTTGGTTAGGTTTAAAGCTTATCGACTGCACGAGGATACATTAAAGGAAAAATTTACCTGTACGTTAACATTAATAATCTTCTAACCCGGAACACAGGGAAGAAAATAGTGTATACATACTTCGGTATTCACCTCTTATGGTGTGTATAGTGTTGCGGTTGGTTCCCCTTGTTCAGCCGGAAAGATGTATCGATCATATTTTAGTCGTATTGATTTGTCTTATTATTCATATGATAAAATGCTTTTATAGTAAAACACTCGCTCATTTTTTTAAGCAATGGATTAACATATTAAACATCACAAATTTTTTTTATATGAAGAACTGTAGTAGTAGACACTTAATATTGCTAGCATCTAAAAGATCCCGGGCTCGATTCGGTTTATTGACCATCTCGCTACCAAGGACAAGTTGTTCAAATCAGTGCAAGGCCTGCACCAGCATTTGTCAGTCTTGCAAACGCTGTAAGCCATGTCATTTTACATCCAGTTGCAAGATTTCACAAATGAGAGCGTAACGATTGGCAGCATGTGATACACCGGTTGTTTATAGTTCGACATTGTACGCTCGTTATTTATGGTGAGAACATTCTGGCTCTTCTTACGACGATAGACAACCTCACTTGGCTTGATTTTTATTTTTAAGACCTTCCGGTGGGAATAGGACTTTAATCCAGAACCCCTCAAGGAAGGTTCCTTGATGTTGGTGAGGGGCTCTTGATTTAGGGAATTGGATCTGTGCTCCAGTTCCCCGAAGCCTGAATGCATTCCACATCCCCCCCAGGCGCTGTATAATCCTCCGGGTTTAGCGCTTCCCCCTTGATTATAATAATAATTTAATCCAGAAGTAATCATTAAATGTATTAGACCCTTCAGCCTTGATTTTTGTGAAGGATTTAATTCAAGGAATTGGAGCTACCCTTCCCTTGAATTAGCTCGAGGGAGGCGAAAGGTCATTGAAAAGGAATCACGTAACTTTTATAGTCTTTTTTCCTGCTTTTATATTTGTTGATATATAGTTTTACCAGTGAAAATGTGTTATAAGTTGGCTATGGTCTCGAGAGATTTCTGCTGCTTCATTATCGAAAAACTCATGCATATACAAAGGATTCTCAAAACATTAAAGTGCTGTGCAACTTACTTTTGGTGGTTTTAATAAGAGCTCAGATATGTAGACTTTCGATAAATATAAAATTAAAATCCTACCACTCTTAATAATAGATACATATCCAAGAATGAGAACTTCCTCTGCATAATTATCCACTGTAAATTTAATAGGGGAAATCAATAAACTCTGCTAAGTAGTCATATCTTAACATATATGGCAAGAAGGCAGTCCATAACAATCGACCATTTTCCATTAATCTAGAAAATATTTTTAGGAAGGTTAGCAGTCTTCTTGACCAAGATCGAGAAAATTTGCCCATCTAACATTTAAAGCTTTTAGCATCGAGCAGTCACTTCCCCACTGGGAATAACTATTAAAATACCAGTGGTGAGCCTCAGGGTCTGGCCTTGAAGATGAAATACGTGTAGTGCTCCTGAGGGCCTTGTTACAGTTATTCTGAGCTGTGCGTGCCCTGCAGGGGCAAGTAAGAGGGACGTGCGCCTTTACTCACGAGACTTCACATGCTTGCACGCACATTCATCACACTCACGGGTGTAAACACTCAGTGATTGTTACACATGCAGATGTACACACATTCACGAGCGAACTTTCATAAGCATCCACACAATTATTTATGCATAACACGCACTCGTTCTCTCTCTCCTCACTGTATATATATGCATGCATGTATGTATGCATGAATACATACATACATACATACATACATACCTATTCATAAAGTTCATTGTATAAAGTACCAAGTAATGGAAATGAGAAAGCTAAAATGGATCACAATGAAGAGAAATTGTGGGATAAAATATTAAGAGCATCAAAGAGAAGCCTAAAACTCGTTGACATCTACTCTCACTGGAGAATAGTATTAACGAAATGGCACCGTAAGCATATTCATATTTATTTTTCTTTCGGGGAGGTGCCTTGGTGCTAATGAAGTCCCCTTAAAGGAATTTAAGCTACTCTTCCTTATGTCGACTTGATTATTTCCCATTTCCCAGACGTTGTATAACCCTCAAGAGTTTAGTGGTTTCCCTGTGAAT